TACAGAGCCCTGTGGGATTCCACTGGTGACTTCACGCCAATCTGAGGTCTCACCCCTCACTGTAACTCTCTGCTTCCTATTGCTTAGGTACTCCCTTATCCACTGGAGCGCCCTACCAGTTACTCCTGCCTGTTTCTCTAGCTTATGCATCAGCCTTTTATGGGGTACTGTGTCAAAGGCTTTCCGACAGTCCAAAAAAATGCAGTCCGCCCATCCTTCTCTTTCTTGCTTAATGTGTGTGTGTGTGTGTGTGTGTGTGTGTGTGTGTGTGTGTGTGTGTGTGTGTGTGTGTGTGTGTGTGTGTGTGTGTGTGTGTGTGTGTGTGTGTGTGTGTGTGTGTGTGTGTGTGTGTGTGTGTTCGAAACAGACAGCTCACAAAGTGTCAGATAAATGTCAATGATTCACCTGGCACAAAAACACTGCTTTATTAATTAACAGTAATTAGCGGCCGATCATATGAATGTTGATCATGTATCAACATGTGCAACAACAGCGTCACATATAACACATCTCAGGTGTGTTGAGAGGTGCTCCCAGGTGTGCCGCGTGCACGTCTTGATCATGCCAGTGATCGATCCATTGATAAATAATTGATTTACTCAGAATAAACGAGATTACTGACACCATATAAACACACTATTCACCCAGGTGTCAACCGGAGGGGATAGGGCTCTGAAATCCACCAGGACCACCAGAGCTTATCCTCACAGAATAAAACACTCTTAGTCTATCGCATATCCTTTAGCTAGAATAGGGGGCTACAAAAGTCCCCATTATGTCCCCATTGTGAGAGTCCCCTCTCACGCTTGGTTCTCCAAGGGGCGTTTAGCACTTCCCTAACCTAACCTTAACCTAACCTTAACCTAACCTAACCTAACCTTAACCTAACCTTAACCTAAACCATCCTAGCCTATCACAACCGAGCCTAACACAGCCTGACCTAAGCTAAAATATACTAACCCTGGCCATATATATATACGGGTTCTACAATCAGAAAACAAGCTTTGTCGAACGGTGTTGTGTACGATAAGACCATCTTCCGCGGCCTGCTTGACCGTCCAAGAGACAGGCGACCATCCCCCGCGTCCTGCTTGACCGTCCAAGAGACAGGCGACCATCCCCCGCGGCCTGCTTGACCGTCCAAGAGACAGGCGACCATCCCCCGCGGCCTGCTTGACCGTCCAAGAGACAGGCGACCATCCCCCGCGTCCTGCTTGACCGTCCAAGAGACAGGCGACCATCCCCCGCGGCCTGCTTGACCGTCCAAGAGACAGGCGACCATCCCCCGCGGCCTGCTTGACCGTCCAAGAGACAGGCGACCATCCCCCGCGTCCTGCTTGACCGTCCAAGAGACAGGCGACCATCCCCCGCGTCCTGCTTGACCGTCCAAGAGACAGGCGACCATCCCCCGCGGCCTGCTTGACCGTCCAAGAGACAGGCGACCATCCCCCGCGGCCTGCTTGACCGTCCAAGAGACAGGCGACCATCCCCCGCGGCCTGCTTGACCGTCCAAGAGACAGAAGAGTGTGAACCTCCTCGCCCCCAACCAGTCGCCACTCTCACGTACACAATAAGAAAGGGCGCGACATTTTTCATACACATGTATGGGAGCCGTATTTTTCCCGCTATACGAATGACCACGAGGCTTTTACACGAAGCCAAACAAGCCGGGTATTCATTCCCCACAAAAACCCACGCCCGTGAATGGCCTCATTAAGGTCATATAGCCGGCGGTAACAGCCAATTTATTAAAATAATATTACCGCTGGTGAACAAAATCATGTATATAGACCTCCCATGTTCTGGGACACGACTCACTATTCAAGCTTTTACACGGCCGCTTGCGAAACCTCTACATCTACGTAGATAATTGTCTATGGTGAGAGAGAGAGAGAGAGAGGTAACAGGTGTTCAGTCCAGTGAGTATATAGCTGAGATTAACCTGGCTTATAGCTGCCCCATCTGCCTGTTGCTTCCTGCACGGCGTGTTGCCTGAGGTGGGCGGCCCCACCCATGAAGGGTGCAGTGGGCGGCCCCACCCATCAAGGGTGCAGTGGGCGGCCCACCAGTAAGAGGAATAGTGGGCGGATTGTGGGGTGGGGGGGGGGCGACATGGCAGGCGGAAGCGATGGTGACCGCTGAGGGTGAAGCATGGTAGGGTGACCCCTGAGGGTGAAGCATGGTAGGGTGACCCCTGAGGGTGAAGCATGGTAGGGTGACCCCTGAGGGTGAAGCATGGTAGGGTGACCCCTGAGGGTGAAGCATGGTAGGGTGACCTCTAAGGGTGAAGCATGGTAGGGTGACCCCTGAGGGTGAAGCATGGTAGGGTGACCCCTGAGGGTGAAACATGGTAGGATGACCCCTGAGGGTGAAGCATGGTAGGGTGACCCCTGAGGGTGAAGTATGGTAGGGTGACCCCTGAGGGTGCAACCCGTTCTCGCAAATTTAATAAGTCAATATTGACTTATTAAATATGTGCATAGGTGACATACATAACATAATAGATACCCTTAAAAAGATTCATAGAAAACACCGACCTTACCTAACCTACTTAGTATGTTAAGATAAGCATCTTATTGCTTCGTAAATACAATTATTACCTAACCTATAATAGGTATAGGTTAAGTAATAATTGTAATTACGAAGTAATAAGATGCTTATCTTAAGATACTAACAAGGTTAGGTAAGGTCGGTGTTTTCTATGAATCTTTTTAAGGGTATCTATTATGTTTAGTATATCACCTATGCACGTAGTTAATAAGTCAATATTGACTTTACGAATTTGCGAGAACGGGTTGGAGGGTGAAGCATGGTAGGGTGACCCCTGAGGGTGAAACATGGTAGGATGACCCCTGAGGGTGAAGCATGGTAGGGTGACCCCTGAGGGTGAAGTATGGTAGGGTGACCCCTGAGGGTGAAGCATGGTAGGGTGACCCCTGAGGGTGAAGTATGGTAGGGTGACCCCTGAGGGTGAAGCATGGTAGGGTGACCCCTGAGGGTGAAGTATGGTAGGGTGACCCCTGAGGGTGAAGCATGGTAGGGTGACCCCTGAGGGTGAAGCATGGTAGGGTGACCCCTGAGGGTGAAGCATGGTAGGGTGACCCCTGAGGGTGAAGCATGGTAGGGTGACCCCTGAGGGTGAAGACGCTGGTGAACTTCGTCCTGCCTAGTAAACAATAATGGGGCGACGGTCGGCTCGTCTCCGCCTGCTGTGAACATTTAGAACTGTCTAAGTGAAGACTTGTTCGTGTCTCCAGTGACGAGGACCGCCACAGCTCCCACAGCTCTCCAGGTATCTGAAGGACCATCTGTGTCTCCCACCTGGTGTGTGTGTCTCCCACCTGGTGTGTCTCCCACCTGGTGTGTGTCTCCCACCTGGTGTGTGTCTCCCACCTGGTGTGTGTCTCCCACCTGGTGTGTCTCCCACCTGGTGTGTGTCTCCCACCTGGTGTGTGTGTCTCCCACCTGGTGTGTGTCTCCCACCTGGTGTGTCTCCCACCTGGTGTGTCTCCTACCTGGTGTGTGTCTCCCACCTAGTGTGTGTCTCCCACCTAGTGTGTGTCTCCCACCTGGTGTGTCTCCCACCTGGTGTGTGTCTCCCACCTAGTGTGTGTCTCCCACCTGGTGTGTGTCTCCCACCTGGTGTCTCCCACCTGGTGTGTCTCCCACCTGGTGTGTGTCTCCCACCTGGTGTGTCTCCCACCTGGTGTGTGTCTCCCACCTGGTGTGTGTCTCCCACCTGGTGTGTGTCTCCCACCTGGTGTGTGTCTCCCACCTGGTGTCCGGAAGAGAGACGTGAATTACAATGTATAACACAAATTGTATTTCTGGGTCGCAACTCTTATTGTCCGATTTACTATGTCTGATGTATAGAGAGCGGCTCTTATTTCCCCCTCAAACTTTCTTCAAACGCTTGGCGACTTCTGAAGCCACGTGGCACAGTTCTGGGCCACGGAGTCGGCAGCCTGCAAGGACCTTCAAGACGCCTTATGCAAGGGTCAAGATCAAATTTAGAAGGTTTATTATAAGTATTTTCTACAGGTTGAGGGCATAAACAATCAGTATGTAATAGTACTACTACCAGACACAAACACAAACTGTTGTGCAGTGTTTCCAGTTGAACAAGATTGAGAAGATGAAAGCGGTATAGAATGAAGCGGCCCGAATTTTTCCCGCCCGAAGCAAGTTCCCAAGCCAACATTCTTCCTGTGAGATCAGAGCCTCGATTGTCTGAGATGCGGAAGAGATTCCACTAACGGACTGACTGCCCACAGCATCAATCACTGGTGAGCATTATTCTGGCCCGAGGTGAGAAAATGGGTGGAAAGGATCGAGGGGAGACTCTATTATCTGCTTCTCGAGAATGAGCCGGTCTTCTAACACTCAAGTGACACATTTTCCCTTTCTCCCCGTGGCATGAAGGAACTCATTCACCTTCCGTACAGTCAACAGTCGCTCCACGAATGACTGTTGCCTGACACCAGAAATCTTTTCCTCTACAAGTACTGGATACTTTACTCTGAGGACTGAGGACCTGGCGCTGTACCTCACAACTGGTGAGGGGAGACTACTGAAAAAATAAAAAGTTTGTTGTTGCTCCGGTTTTCATTGCACCCATTTTGAAAAGTATTTCGACTGTACCTTGAATTTATTCGCGATGGAAGCCCTGACTGAAGCTGAAGCTTGACTGCAGCAGCACCCCGAGTGAGTGCAGCAGTGCATACAGTGTCTCCCACAACACCTCCCAGGTGATACAGTGTCTCCCACAACACCTCCCAGGTGATACAGTGTCTCCCACAACACCTCCCAGGTGATACATTTCACAACAGTTCAAAGACTAATGAAAACCAAACAATTTACTTTGAAGCTCTTGTTTATATCAGGAAAATATTTAAATTACAAATTATTTAAATAAATACAAATAACTATACAGAAATTATATTTTGTAATTAGAGTATTCTAGAAATCAATGTATGAAAAATTAATGTTTTGTGACACAGGTGGTGGTGAGGAGCCAGGAAACCCGAGAGAAACCGGGGAGACCAAGAAGAGACCAAGAAAAGACCAAGAAAAGACCAAGAAGAGACCAAGAAGAGGCCAAGCAGAGACCAAGAAGAGGCCAAGAAGAGGCCAAGAAGAGGCCAAGCAGAGACCAAGAAGAGGCCAAGAAGAGGCCAAGAAGAGGCCAAGCAGAGACCAAGAAGAGGCCAAGAAGAGGCCAAGAAGAGGCCAAGCAGAGACCAAGAAGAGGCCAAGAAGAGGCCAAGAAGAGGCCAAGCAGAGACCAAGAAGAGGCCAAGAAGAGACCAAGAAGAGGCCAAGCAGAGACCAAGAAGAGGCCAAGAAGAGGCCAAGAAGAGGCCAAGAAGAGACCAAGAAGAGGCCAAGAAGAGACCAAGAAGAAAGCCTCTCTACAATCATGCTTCAAAAAAATAAATATATTTGTGTTCTGAGAGCGCACAAAACCTCAACAAATATCAACACTACACGGAGCGTTGCTTCACGCTCTACACACACCAATTCAAATCTGTTTCTAATCCTCTGTGACACACACAGTAATTCCCCTCTAAGCCCGCTTAACCCAAGACAAATCCCTCTAATCCACCCTAAACAAATCCCCCTCCCTGCACCCCGCCAGTGTTGCAGGACGCCCGGAACAAGGCAACTGGGGAACCACGCAATACAATTCAACCTCGGGGCTCTCAACGCCGTCATTATAGATTCTTGTTTTAATCGGAGATTTTGACTTACCTGGTGTGTGGGAGCTGCAGGCTGGCTCCCCCACACACTGGTGTGTGGTGTCAGGCGTCAGGCTGGCGCATCCCTGACACCAGGCTGGCTCCCCCACACACTGGTGTGTGGTGTCAGGCGTCAGGCTGGCGCATCCCTGACACCAGGCTGGCGTCAGAGATGCCTCGTGGTCGTCTTGCTGAAGGGACGGGAAGTCAGGAAGGGATGATTTTTGAGGCTTCGGGGGATAGTTGGGTTTTGCTGGGCTCTAATGATAAGGATAATGAGCTAGGATGAGGATAGTTTTCAATAAATGATTGGAGGTGGGGGGGAGGGACTCTTTATGTGAACTGGCGACGCAAAACTGGGCTTTGGAGGGCGCGATAAATAGGGAATATGAAGAGAGAGCAAGAAAGCCTGGAAATCAGTAGGAGAGATTTGCAGAGAGAGGCGTGTGAGCCCCAAGGGTGTAACAGAACCTGTTGGGCGAGCTCGGCGTTGGGGGGTAGGAGAGGAGGAGGCTGAAGGAGAAGACGAGGAGATGGGAACAAGAGGCAAGGAGAGTCGAGAGATAATCTATCTCCAGAGATGCCCCACAGAGTCTTGCTAGTGTGCATCTCGAGGCATTTACAGAAATGGGAGGCACAGAAACCTCCAGGAAATGAGCCTTTGAGAATTGCAGCCGAAAGACCTTTGCCACCTTGACGAGAGGCGCGGGAGACATCGCCCCGGGATGCTGGGATGCTGCCGGGGTTTTAAAGATGAGGAAGGAGCACCTCCGGGCTTAAAGAGAGATGGAGCGAGGGAGTTTAGTGCCAGAGGTAGAGTGGAGGAGACTCCCGAAGACAGGAGTCAGGGGATAGGTTAAGCGAGGGGGACTCTTCAAGGGGCGAATGAAGGGACGAGTCGTGGATAGGGGATGGATGGGTCTGGGACGAGTCGTGGTTAGGGGCTGGATGGGTCTGGAAGAGGGACGACACGAAGCACTTTACCTGAGGGAGAGAGAGAGAGAGAGAGGCAGGTTAGCACACAAATACTTCCGTTGGAGACTTAACATTAGCAAGTTATGACATCACATGCAGTGCAACACAACTGGCATGTCAGCTACCTGACTGTATGGTTCTACCTGGTTGTATGGTTCTACCTGGCTGTATGTATGGTTCTAGCTGGCTGTATGGTTCTAGCTGGCTGTATGGTTCTAGCTGGCTGTATGTATGGTTCTAGCTGGCTGTATGGTTCTACCTGGCTGTATGGTTCTACCTGGCTGTATGTATGGTTCTAGCTGGCTGTATGGTTCTACCTGGCTGTATGTATGGTTCTACCTGGCTATATGTATGGTTCTAGCTGGCTGTATGTATGGTTCTACCTGGCTGTATGGTTGAGCAGCTTCGTCACGGGTTGTATGGTTGAGGGGATGGTCTATAACACAGCTCAGCAGTCCGCTGGCTTGAGGGATGGTGGATGGTTCCATGCTTCATTAATATGATTATCAGTCTCCTGTTGGTACCCAAGTTCACTGTACAAGTTCATAGATCCATAATATATGGATCTGTATGATGGCAGCTACATACACTCTCCCCCCCTCACACACACTCTACACACACTCTACATACACTCTCTCTTCCTCTCCCTCACCCTCCCCCCTCACAGACACTTCAACCCACTTCAATGTTTCCCTCCCTCCTACATCCAACCCTTTCCTTCCTCACCTTCCTCCCTCCTTTTTTTTTCCTTCTATTTACCTCTCCCTTCCTTCCTAGTTGTTCCTCCCCCCCCCCCTCCTCCAGCCCCCCCCCACTCTCCACCACAATCGATGCAGAGTGTCTCTCACACACACACACGCACGCACATACACATGCATACACAAACGTTGGGGGGGGGGGCATCGATGGCTGTGTGGATAGCACGCTGGACACGTAATCCTGTGGCCCGGGTTAGATTCCCAGCGCCGGCGAGAAACATTGGGCAGAGTTTCTTTCACCCTGATGCCCCTGTTACCTAGCAGTAAATAGGTACCTGGGAGTTAGACAGCTGTTAGGGCTGCTTCCTGGGACGTGTGTGTGTGGGGGGGGGGGAATAGTAGTTAGTAACAGTTGGTTGATTGACAGTTGAGAGGCGGAGCGAGAGAGCCGAGCTCAACCCCCGCAAGCACAACCCACACACCACACGTGTGTGTGTGTGTGTGTGTGTGTGTGTGTGTGTGTGTGTGTGTGTGTGTGTGTGTGTGTGTGTGTGTGTGTGTGTGCGTGTGTGTGTGTGTGTGTGTGTACTTACCTAATTTACCTAATTGTGCTTGCGGGGGTTGAGCTCTGGCTCTTTGGTCCCGCCTCTCAACCGTCAATCAACTGTTAATAACTACTTTTTTTCCCACACACCACACGTGTGTGTGTGTGTGTGTGCGTGTGTGTGTGTGTGTGTGTGTGTGTGTGTGTGTGTGTGTGTGTGTGTGTGTGTGTGTGTGTGTGTGTGTGTGTGTGTGTGTGTGTGTGTGTGTGTGTGTGTGAGTGTGTGTGTGTGTGTGTGTGTGTGTGTGTGTGTGTGTGTGTGTGTGTGTGTGTGTGTGTGTGTGTGTGTGTGTGTGTGTGTGTGTGTGTGTGTGTGTGTGTGTGTGTGTATGTGTGTGTGTGTGTATGTGTGTGTGTGTGTGTGTGTGTGTGTGTGTGTGTGTGTGTGTGTGTGTGTGTGTGTGTGTGTGTGTGTGTGTGTGTGTGTGTGTGTGTGTGTGTGTGTAATTACCAACACAAGGCAGCGTGCGTGTATATAAAGCGATCTATTTGACATTGGACCCCTTGCATTATCTGGCAGCATATTGTATACTCCACGTGGTCCGTCCTCACCCCCCCCCCCCCCGAGTATACCCTGTGTCTGTCTGTCGTGTCACAGTGAGATCCCTGAGCTAAGAGATGACACAGCTCTGTATCTGCCTTATTAGACAACCACGACCAGCCTCCAGTCTTGTGGTACACCACGTGCTACGTGGTACACCACTGTGCTACGTGGTACACCACTGTGCTACGTGGTACACCACTGTGCTACGTGGTGTACACCACTGTGCAACGTGCTACACCACTGTGCTACGTGGTACACCACTGTGCTACGTGGTGTACCCCACTGTGTTACGTGGTACACCACTGTGCTACGTGGTGTACACCACTGTGTTACGTGGTACACCACTGTGTTACGTGGTACACCACTGTGCTACGTGGTGTACCCCACTGTGTTACGTGGTACACCACTGTGTTACGTGGTACACCACTGTGTTACGTGGTATACCACTGTGTTACGTGGTACACCACTGTGTTACGTGGTATACCACTGTGTTACGTGGTATACCACTGTGTTACGTGGTACACCACTGTGCTACGTGCTGTACACCACTGTGCTACGTGGCACACCACTGTGTTACGTGGTACACCACTGTGCTACGTGGTACACCACTGTGCTACGTGCTGTACACCACTGTGCTACGTGGTGTACACCACTGTGTTACGTGGTACACCACTGTGTTACGTGGTACACCACTGTGCTACGTGGTACACCACTGTGTTACGTGGTACACCACTGTGTTACGTGGTACACCACTGTGCTACGTGGTGTACACCACTGTGCTACGTCTGAGCCCACAGGAAAGTCTCAAGGTTTTACTAATTCACTTCCCTCGCTGCCTACCGTCGCCCGGGTAATATAGCTATACCGATAATATAGGCAACAATAGATATACAAGGTTCATCATTCTGCCGTAACTTTAATTATCGAATGGTACTCTTGTTAGGTCGAGCCGCTCGCTCCAGAATGTGCCAAAGGAAAATTATTCTTTTTGTCCGCCTTACGTGGGTGGTTGATGCTAGCTGGACGGGCAACCTTCCACCATCACAACCTTTCCTAATCTACTCTATCTCCTCTACTCCGTTTATATCCTCTCTTCCATCTCTCTTTCTTGCTCAATATACCACGATTTCCCCGCCTTCTCCATCTATTATTACCCCCCTTTGACTGCTTCTTGTCCCTATCTTCAATTTGTAAACCTTCTTAGGGGTTATCTTTTTCCTTTATCTATCGAGCTTTATCTACGGTTCTTTCTTATCAGATCCCGACGATGATTGTCTCGTTCCCAGACGCCTGCGTGACAACGAGGTCCACCCACTCCCTCAACCCCCCCCCCCCCAGCCCTTGTCAATCGGTCATATCATCTTGCGTCCCGTCACGTGTGACTGATGGTAACGTGACAGATCCGTCCCTTCTCGTCATCTTCAATGCACGAGTTGCAGTAATGATGGGGGTGAATATATGTAGTGAAGGGTTTTATGTCTCCTCATTCTATCCTGGGACAGCTGCTGTGGTCAGTGAGGTGGTGCAGGGAGCAGCAGCAGCAGCTGCCCTCACCAGTGACAGCGGGGAACTGAGCGAGGACCAGCAAGCCACACACACGTGTACACACACTATCAAGCTGTCACCGTATAGAACGCCTCCAGCCGTGATAAAGACGCCTCTCACCAAAGAATAGGTTATAAAGAATACATCAAGGCGCTCAGTATTCTTGGGAGCTGGGCGCTCGTCTGACTGTGTGTTCGCGTACACGAGACAGAGAGGCAATTAGGATAAGTAATCAGGAGAAAGAATTACGCTATTACGACTGTATAGCACCTGTAAGTGATGTGAGGGGTTAGGATAGGACGGAATGGTGCCCAACCACTTGTGGACGGTCGGGAATTGAACGCCGACC